CCCCCCCCCCCCCCCCCCCCCCGGGGGGATTTTCTTGGGGGGGGGGGGGGGGGGGTTGCCCTATGAATCCATGGCAGCTTTATTCTGCACCAGAAGTGCCCCCCCTGTCCGCAGGGAGAAAATGCTGCCGTATAAGGCGGCCTGCCGAGGTGGCTTCTCCCACAGCCCCCCCCCATCTCGAGCCTGTGGCCGTCAGCAGCTGCACTGTTACTTGCAAGCCTCCCCGAGTCACTGAGTAGGAGCGCCGGCGGGTCGGTTCCCAGAACGGCTCCGCATGTGACCGGATGCTGGCATAAGCGGGGTGGGCAGAGCACAGCTTAGTGCGTCGTGGATGCGGCGCTGGGGCGTCCTGCCGAGTGTGTAAGCAGATCACAGGTGTGCCGCATGGGACCTGGCCAGCTCAGACGTCATCTGTCATCTTCGGCGCTGCTCACATGAGAATGCCGGTTCCCCAGCCACGGGGACATCCCCAAGGTGTCTATGTCCCGCCCGAGCGGAACCGGCAGAGGTCCAGCTCGCGTGTTCCCCGTACGCAGTGGCATGAAGAGGTGTGTGCTGGTGACGCGCTTGTAACGCACCGGGAGAGCATGCGAGATGCTCTGCACACAGCCTATGCATGTTTGGGGACTGACTCACAGTGTATTTATACACCTCTGTCAGTGGGAGGTGCCGGGGTGGGGGGGGGCATGAGGCTTTAGCAGGCTGTGCTCCTGGCATTTGCTCTAAATGACGCTGACCGGGGGATGGGGGCTGGGGTCCTGGCTTCTTGAAGGGCTTGGCTGGCCTGTCCCCCCCCCCCCCAACGTGACCCCCCCACCCGGTGTCTCTCTGGTGGAAGTGTGGTCAGTGTGTGGCCTGTGGTTTGTCCCTGCGGTCGGAGGCGGTCAAGAGACCTCGCGGTCACACCGGATCCCCGTGTCTGGCCTTGTGACCTGTTTGACTCTGTACCGGTATGATGTCACCCTAGTCCTTCCTGCGATACCGTGGTTTATGAGGGAGGGGTACACGCATCCCAGAATGCTGTGTATCTTCATGGGGTGGCGGGGCACTTCTGAAATAAGAACCGGACGCCGTGTGCCTGCCACACCTCTCTGCATGTCCCTGCAGCTCCGATGCCGTTTAATGATTTTCTTTTTTCTCTTCGGCAACAATCGCGAGCAGTATGAGTCACTGGAGCCGCTAACCGCTGTCGGTGTGGTGTACCAGCCCCCGCTCCTGTTTGTCCTCCTTTCCTTGTTCCTGTGAATGCCTGTGGTCCTGGGTTCTGCCCTGACCCGGTCTGCAGCCAGTCTGGTGCTGATATGTGCTTGACTCGGCCCAGTCCTGGAGCCGACCCCCAGCCCTACCCCCAGCCCCACTGAATCGTGGGCCGGCTGGTATGTATCTTCATGGCTATTTTTAAAGCATCAGAAGTTCCAAGAAAAGCACAGTGTTTCTGGGGGGGTGGCTAGCTGGGGGGCCATTCCTGTGTCAGTAACCCTTTTTGGGGGGAGGGGGCTGAGGGAGCTCTGAGGATGGTGTGATTACTTCGGTGCACATCCAGTCTATCAGTTTAAGTTGTGAATGTAATATATGG